TATCGGGGAGGCCGATATCAGCGAAAATTTGCTCCTCATTGTCTTCTTCTTCTTCATCCTCTTCATCGTTCGGCTCAAAAGTACGTACGTCCAGCACCTCAAGCTCCGCGTCGCTGCTCAGCTCAAGGTTTCCAACATCACTTTGGCTCGGTTCGGCTTGAGATGATAGCTGACTCTTGGCTTGTGCATCTAATTCGCTCAATACATCACCAATCGTTTTGCTAGTAGCCATCAAAGATTTTTGACACTCCTCAAATAACTTCATCATTGACGGGCTAGCCACTTGTTCAAGCGATGGTTCTGAATGTGAGCTTCCATAGTGAAATTGAGAGTCATCAAGCTCATAAGAAGGCTCATACGATCGAGAATATTGTGGATTTTCATAAAATGAATTTCCACGATCTCCCCAACCGTAATGGTCCTTATCGAAATTGGAGTACGCCCAATCATCTCGTCGATACCAGTCTCTCTCGTTAGCTCTACGTGCACCATACCCCTCGAACAAAAATAGACAATTATCGGTGACGTGTCGTGTGGTATGACATAGACGACATGGTCTCCTTAAAGCTTGACGAACACTCTCAATGGCTTCTTGAATCATAGCCGACATCTTAGTCTCACGATGTTGGTCTCTTATTTCCCTCCTTTTCATTTCATAATATGTATCGTACGCATAAGCACAATCTGGGCTCCAATACACATCCATTTACGAATACCACCTGCAAAAGAAACCAAAAAAATAAGGGGGGTTAAAAAAAATCAAAGGATAATATAAAATAAAATAAAAACTAATCTAATTACTTAATTCAATTAACACTAAAAAAAATCACAACTCAATTGCGCCACTCCCCGACAACAGCGCCAAAATTTGACTGCGCGTCGCGACGCGGCAAATTACAAATTTAAATTTTTCCTCAACTAACCTCTACTAACTAGTAGTAGCAGCGAGTAAGGGTCGATCCCACGAGGAGTAGGAACTAAGTCGTGACAATTTTCGTATCAATTGAACTAAACTAAGAAAGCAAATAAAGATGGGGGGATTGATTTTATAAAAATAAAAATAAATAAATAAAAAAAATCAAATCAAATAAGAGAAGTCCAGTTTTTGGTTCAGTTATCACCCAATCTAAATCTACCGTTAATCAATTTCGATGCTTTCTTTAAATTGCTAATGAATTACCGACCCTAGCTAACAACAGGCTCTGTTAACCGAATTTTCCCTCACTGAATATTTAATCGAAATAGGCTCTTCGACTAAACCTAACTAGTGGACAACTTAGAATAAGCTCTCTAAATTTAATCCACTAGCAGCATTAATATATAGGAAAATAGATCAGTCTAAGCAATGAACGCATAAGTTCGGACCATTTAACTTATGTTCACGCTACCCTAAGGATGCACGACCCCTGGTTTACTACTAACGAAACAAGACAATAACAATTACGGATTAAAGACTCGAATCTAGCAATTAAATCATGGAAATTCAACATAGCTGGCCAAATTAAATCAAACACCATAATTTGTAAACACTAAACACAGATAACATGAATCAACTCATCAACAAAAATAAATACGGTGTCTAGATTAATCAACGATAAACAAAGATCCTTCAATTCATAGACAAATCGAAGTTAGGGTTCAAACATCCCCTAAAACTGGATAAAAATATTAACCTAACATACTAGTAAAAATAAATACTAAATAAAAGATAACTGAGAGAAGATAAAAGTATCTCCCTCGTGTACGGATGCGGCTTCCCTCCGCGTGTGATATTCTCTTCTTCTATGCGTTCTTCTTTCCTTCCCGCTGCTCGTGCGGCTCTGTTCTTTTCTTTTTCTGCTCTCCCTCGCGTCTGTCAGTCCCCCAGCAAATAAGTCCACCAAAAAATGTCCCAGTCTCCCAAGAAATTCGAACTCTTCGATTAATCTCTTGCCAAAAAGAAATTCCCTCAATTGTCTTTCTAAACAATTAATTACCCCCAACAAAAATCCTGGCTGCTTTTCTTTTTGTAAATGTCCTAAACTTGGGTTGAGATTTTGGGCCCAGAGTGGGTTAATAATAATCAACGTTGGGCCTGGAATTTTATTGAAATTCAAGCTGATATGGGCGGAGGCGATAATTGATCACGTGAACTTCCGTCTCATGCTTTGCGTCCATAAAATACTCTAATGAGCTGAAAATAAATACAAAAATATCAATGTGTATGTATCCATCCAAATAATAAATAAGCCAAAAAAATATAAATGTACGAATAAATTGTGTGTATAAAAATACACTATTAAATATATAAAACGCGCACAATTTTCGACCTATCAGCAAGTTCCACGTAAATTCCCAAACCTCTTTTCATTTTCTAAATCAATCCATAAGTTTTTTTTTTAGACTGCACTCCCCACCTCCAATTACATCTTCGCCTGCACTCTCTACTACTAAAATAAATTAAAAATAAATTAAAAAAACACATCAAACACCTCACTACTTACTTTTTCTAATATTTTATTGCTTTTCTATATCTCCTAACTTTTCCTAATTTTTTTATTTTTCTTTATCTCTCTTTTGCACAATTTTTTGTTATTTTTTTTATCTCATCTTCCACTATTTCTCTCTCCAATTACCAACTTTTCCTAATTCTTTATTATTTTTCTTTTTCTATCCTACCATACAATATTTATGTAATAAGTTACAATATTAGTATTGTCTTATTGCATTATAGGTATTAACTGTAACTTCCTTGGGACGGAAAAGACAGACTCAAGCTCAAGAGAGAAAGAAAATAGACTCGAAGCCTTCCTCGCAGCAGGACGCGTTAGAGGTCGTTTCGGTATGTCTTTTTTTCCGATGAGGGAACTCAAACTAATAAGTGATTTATATATATTCATTTTCATTCATACACGACAATAATAAGTATTGTGTTACTATAATACTGGTATTGTCCTATTGTAATATGGGTATCAGTTTTGTAAACTCATAAAGCAAGGGACAATTTATTTTCGTTCAGACAAGTCAGAGTCAAATAAAAATTAATAAGTACTGGGTTATTACAACATTGATAGTGTCTTATTGAAATATAAGTATCAGCTTTGTAAACTCATTAACTAGTACAAATCATGTGCAATACACGGGTAAGATGTATTCATTACTATTTATAAATAAAAAATGCTCTATTGAGAGATTATATTGTGATATTCTTATACGATAAATATGGCAATTGTATCGTGTTGATATGATATAGATTGGATTGCATCAACTAGATGATATGATAAATCTCGTAGATTTGTCTTTTGATTTCTTTCTTTTCTTTCATCTCTTTTGGCTTGTGTATATACCTTGTAATGCTCATTGAGTTATACAATAATTCAAGCTTAACAACATTCTCTCCCCTTTAACATGATATCAGAGCAGATTTTTTTTTTAAACTCTAACCTAAGCCGCTGTTGTAGTGCCTCATTCGATTTATCTGAGTTCTCGTACTTTATTTATTTATTATTTGCATTTTTATTTATTACTGTAATTGCTCGGCCTATCTCTATTAGACTTATTATAATTAGTTGGATATTTTCGTCTAATTAATTTAATAAGTCGTACATTCTATTTTATTTGTTCGTCGTCAATCGATTAATAGATCGATATCCTTGGTATCACATGAGATTTAATGATGGCCCGTTTGAGATAAATCATTCTTGGCCCAATTTTGTTAAATATCACGTGAGATTTTTTTTTTTTAGCAAGAAGAGATATTTTCTTTTCACCGTATCTTCTTCTGCGAGATCTCTTCACGATCGTTGCCTAGTCTGTTTCTCCTTCATAATCTCGGCCAAGGAGTTCATTTCTCCTCGCAATCGATCAAACCTAAACTATGTTCTTCCCCCTCTGCTCTCATCATTTCTCCGCCCCAATCGCTACCATCTCCCCTGCGACGTGAACCACGAGTCGACTTGAGCCTCCACCTCGTGTACATCCTCGTCGGAGCTTCTTGCGGAGAAGGAGACGGGAACGGTTTGTATGCGCGGTAGAGCGTTTCCTATTCAAATTCGAAGCGGCGGCCGAAGGGCGACGTCGAAGACCGCAGCCACGATGAAGGCTTCGGACGGGGCACGACTGAGGCACGCTCGGATGCACGACAGAGGCACGACCGGAGTAATCTCTTGAATTGTTGCAGTCTCTGGCGTGCTGCGAACGAACGACGGAGACACGCTGGAGGCCGACCAAGGTAAGCCAGAAGCCGGCTGAGGCATGTCAGCAGTCTCCAGCGGGCTGGGCTTGTCTGTGTGTGTGTGTGTGTTTGTGTACTAAGTGTGTTGTGTGTGTGCGCGTGTGTGTGGTGTAAATATTAGGTTGGTGTGTAATGACCAATTTGCCCTTAGTGAGTAGTCAAATATGTACATTTGACCACAATGTATTAATTGACCATATTACCATTAATAATTGACCAAACTTTGACTTGATTATGATCATTGATAAGATGTATCCAAAGAGAGATCATTGATAAGATGTATCTCTCTCTCTTCTCTCTCTCTCAAAACCACGGACCCAGCTCCGATCCCTCGGTCAAGGGCTTGACTGGGCCAAATAATTTGTGAACCTGAACCGGCCCGGCAAAACCACGGGTCCATCTCCTAGCCCTCTGTCAAGGGCTTGACTAAGACTGGGCCGAATAATTTGTGAACCTGAACCGGCCCGGCAAAACCGCGGGTCCAGCTCCTAGCCCTGGATCAAGGGCTTGACTGGACCTTTTCGGCGCGTGTCCATGTCTGACATGGAATATTGCGTAACAAAACATGCACCACCACCAAAGTTTCAGAGAAATTTTGCCAGCAAACTACTACTGAAATACCTTACTTTCTTGGGGCATTATTTATGGTCTAATCATCATATTCCAGCTCTCCTCCTACTGTAGAGGTATAAATAAATAAAAAAAAATAGATATAATAATCTAATTTCACAAATCTCACAATTATTTCAATCCTCCAAGCGGCATCGACAAATGTCGAGCGAAAAAATTATCTGGTCGACGACCTCACACGCTGCAGAACCCGCACAAACTCCACAAACATGGAGAAATCCAGGCCCGAAAGCACATCACTCTCCGCGCCCGAACTTGGGTTCTGGCACACCACCAGATCAAACCCCCCAAACTTCTTCGTAAGCTCCTCCAACCTCCCGCCCGTCAGCCTATTGGCATCCTCAATCTGCACCAACTCCCCACCCTGCCCGCTACTCTCCCACCACCTCCTCACGATCCTCCGCCTCACCTCACTCGGCTCCACCGACACTACACCCCTCATCCGGATCCCCAGCCGGTGCAGGGCCACCTCGGGCCCACCAATCCCCGTGAAAAACGACAACACAGCTACCCCTCCCGGGCAGAGCTGCCTCAGCACCGAAAGGAGGTAACCCAGCGTGTCCGTTTGGAATGCGAGCCCGAGCGACCTCAGCCGCTCATCTGGGCCGAGGCCGGCGGCCCGGGTGTGGTTCGGTGGGTAGCCCATCACGCGCTCCGCCAGCTCAGGCTCCAGCGGGCCCACCCGGTTCCGGCCCATCCAGATGAGGTTCTTTGACTGGAGCTGCTGGACGAGGTGCTGAGGTGGGGGCCCGTCGGACCCGGACAGGGCCTGCGCGACTCGGTCAATGACGTGAGTTGTCCCGCCCATCTGGTAGCCGACATGGGTCAGGTGCTTCCGGGTGTCCCACGCGGGCCACCATTTTTCGGAGTGTGGCGCGGCTTCCTGGATGGTGAGTGGGCCCCTAGGGAGAATGTGGGCCCGGTTGTCCGTGGGGAGGTTGTGCACGTAGCCTTCCTGTCGGCTCAGGGCAGAGTGTGTCTCAGTGTTTACGAACTCCGGCTTGACCGAGTACAGAAACTGAGAGATCTTGGCCCAGGAGGAATGAGACAGGCTGGTCACATGCCCGTAGAGGAAATAAGGGGGTCGTGCGGCTGCGGGTGAAAGGGTCCTGCAAGGGTTGGGTGTGGATTCGTACATTGACAGCTTCGAGTCTTCCACTAAAAAGTCCATTTGCCAGGCTGGCGGCAGGCTGGCGGACGAGGTGCGGCGGTTGTCTTTTTGTGCCTGGATCCGCACCAGGTTGGCGGAACTCCCGGTCTCGGCAAATTCCTCCTTTGGTTCCATGAAGTCATTTGGTTCGTCCGGGAGTCGTGTTCTCGGGATCTTGCGCTTTGATTTCCCGAGCGAGTTGGATGTCCCGACTTGGGACGTGAGGTCACCCTGTTCCTCGGTCTTGATGAATAACGAGTCGAGAAGGGGCTCAACTGTTTTCCTTTTTGGAGGTCGATACTGCAGAGTAATGTTAGAGACTCAGAAAGTGTGACTGGGAAAGGTGATGTATAAATAAGAAACTACTAAACATAAGCTTTCTGTTGTGGGACGGACTTGATAAGTAGGGTCAACGATTGAGTTCGTGAGCTCAGGGAGAGGTGCTTCTGAACCTGAAATGTAGAAACCTAAAGATTAGCACAAATACCTGTGTGAGACAGCCTAACCATTAGGCAGATCGATCTGTCATACAAAAAATTGCATACTTATAGTGTGAAATGTCGTACTTTTGCCTATGCTATTATTTAGAGTGAAACATTTCAATATGAAAGTATGTATATCTGTTGAAAAAGTATGAGTGCCTAGCCTTATTGAAAGATTAGATACCCAATTGCCCGTTAATAGAAAATAAAAATTTATTGGTGACGCAGCTAGAAGCGTTTATCACGAACAGAATTTCTAGGAATTGGGTTTTGTGCAAAGTACAATACTAGAATCCTCTATCTAAAAGGATATGATGGACACAGGTGCAGCAATATGAGTGAACGAAAAGAGGAAACAGAGAAAGGCAAAAGAAAAAAAAAAAACAACTATTGGTGTTTTTGGAGCAGATGTATGAATAGAACAGTACAATCCTCTATTCTTTTTATGCTGTAAGAAGCTCACCACATTTCTCAAAAGCTGTTGATATTTCGTTCTCCGAAAAGCCCATTTCAAGCAGTTGAAGCGTCTTTTCCATGACACCAAATAGCACCTCGTTGCTACAATCCTGAGAATTTACAAATGAATTTAAGCACGGAGCATGAAATATACATATATACACACACATGTTATATAACAACGATGAACATTCTGGTCAGACAAAATCAGGTTCACAAAACAGGAACTTTGGTTATAGGTTACAGACTGAAACTCACTACAAGGGATCACGTTTTGTTGCTAATGGCTGTAAGAACTAAATATTACCAACTCATGATATCACAGGAAATGCACCCAGACAATCAGAAGTCATAATTTAACGTGAACTTGTTGTAAGAGTCATCAATCAAAACCTTTTCGTTTTCCTCGTCTCCAATTATTATATTAGGTGTGTCTTTTTCATACTTCTTGGCCATCCGCGTAGCAAAAATGAAGTCCATTAGTTGACCAACAGTAGCATCTTTACCTGTGATAAAACATCAGAAGTTGTACTTAGCTTACGACGTGAGTAGTATAGGAGTGCTAAGTTGTCACATGAATAGACATTTACGATAACCATAGAACTAAAGGTTGTATTAGAAACCAGCAACAAGATTAGCGGAGTTACACAAGTGTAGGACATGTGATCAACAAAATAAAAGGTTGTCCTAACACATTAGACGACAAAATTATAACGGCCAACTGTAGGACAATCAGCCAGTCAAAGAGTATAACACACAAAGACGAGCAAGTTGAATGACACACCAACAAATACTCCTTGTAAAAGAAATACAAATAAAAAAAAAATCCAGAGAAAAATAGGGACTGTTGTAATAACATTTCGCAAAGCACAAGAAGCATCATTCACAGTGTGTGAAGGTGAATATCAGAGTTCGGATGTTTCCACCAACCAAGTCTACCCATAGCAAGCTCAACTTCATCGGCAGTGAAATTCATTTTCAATAAAGATTCCTTTTTCCCGTCAATGTCGCTGCCAGCATCAGGTTCCTGCAAGATCCACAATTGCAGAAAATAAGGAAATCCAAGACTGTGTATCAAGAAGGACAAACATATACACAAGAAATAGGTCACATTTCTTGAAAATGGACAAGACTAGAAAAGGAATTAAGAATATAAATGATCAAATTATATGGGTGGAAAACATTTTATTGAGTTAAAAAAATACCTAGGCAGGAAAATAGATTTGGAAATTATTCAAATTAGAGGTAACATTGTGTCCCACCCGGTCTATGATGATTAGTTATCATACTCAAACTCAAATATACTAGAAGGCCGTTCATAGGGAGAACCAAAGAAAAAATTACCTCCTTTACGTGATGGTTTGCGGTTAAATCATCACTGTTGCTGTTGGATAGGCCATCATCAAAAGGTTCCGGCTTTGGTTGCTGATGATTCTGTTCAAGTTCAAGCAATATTAGTCTTACAGCACAAATAAATCTCAACCACGTTTTCCATCGGTAGCTCTATTGTAAAAGACCCCGTCTAGCTCCGATGATATCACGCATAGGTGCTAGGCCCGCGTAACTGACGACAATTTTTATTTTATGCCTAGCACTATATAAATCCAGACCTGTCTAGTCTAGGCTCCAATTACATCCTACCTAGCAGTGTTCTAAAAGTCGTTAGGCGCCCGCTAGGCGCTCTACCAGCGCCTAGAGCGCTAGAGCGCCAAGGCAGGGCCTAGGCGACGCCTAATCGAGGCCTAGAAATCAATATTAAATACCTTATTTTTTATTATTTTAACTACCTACAAAATAAAATTATCTCAATTTATAACAAATCGACACACCTAAGTCTAAATAATAAAATTAATATAATTTAAAGAAAATATGAGAACAAAGTAATATAATTAGTATTTAAAAAAAATTAAAAAAAAAAAAAAAAACTGAAAAATTGTCGCCGAGCCCGCTTAGGAACGCCTACGTCCGCCTATGTCCCCCTAGGTGCCGCTTAGCCGCCTGGCCGATTTTTTCTGCCGATTTGTGCAAATCGGAGGCGCCCGGGCACCGCCTAGCGCCTAGGCGCCGCCTAGGCCGATTTTTAGAACAGTGCTACCTAGTGCTACCTAGGCGCTAGGCCCCAATCTACCGCCTAGAGACAACACTGGTTAGCAGGCATTGCATAATTCATTTTTCAACCGATGAAAAAGGTAAATTAAAATAATAGAAAAAATGTTGTAGTCCAAAGACTCAGCTGCACACTAAACCAAGACAATGAGGGAAATATGGGTTGTTGTAATATCGTTGTCCCACATTGACTACATAGGAAAACTGAGCCTAGTTTATAGTTTATAAGCCCAGTGGACTACTACTCCATCAATTGGTTTTGAGATGGAACCTCAATATGGTGTGAGAACCAGGCTCGCTCTCCCCCTTCTTCCAACTAAATAAATCTAACATGGTATTGCGATGATTGATCTATCAGGCCTATACTAGGCATACTAGGCCTATGAAGAACTCACAAATAAGGGTGCGGCATATTGGATGGAATATCACTTGTGAGTTGTCCCACATTGACTATATAGGAAAATTGAGCCTAGTTTATAGTTCATAAACCCAGTGGACTACTACTCCTATCACAAATTGGTTTTGAGAAAGAACCTCAATAAGGTGGGAACCAGGCTCGCTCTCTTAAGTTCCCCCTTCCCCCAACTAAATAAATCTAACGGTATCAGAGCGGCCCTGATCTAAGACCTGCGATGATTCATCTACCAGGCCTATGACGATCTCACAAATAAAGGGGCAGGTTGGAAGGAATATCACTTGTGAGTTGTCCCACTTTAACTATATAGGAAAAATGAGTCTCGTTCACTAGCTACTCTTCCTACTTCCTACTTATAGGAAAAATGAGTCTCGTTTATAAACCTAGTGAGCTACTCTTCCTATCACCAATTGGTTTTGGTATAAAACTTCACTAAGGTGTGGCAACTGGGAGATCAGAAAATTATGAAATGGATAAATTCAGAAAGCAATCTATCATAAAAGACGGTAAGCCATGGAACTCATAAAAGACAAAAAACAAGAAATAACCTAGGTTTCTTGGTACACATGACCATCATTAGATTTTCAAAAAATAAAAATAAAAATCTATTACCATATAATGCCTAAAATTTGAATGTTTGGTTCTGCTTTGGGTCTTTTGGTCATGTATTGAGGAATTTTAATCGGTTGTATCCGTAATAGAATGTAGTAGAAGAAGTTGCAGTACATTACATCATACATGGTTGTTTACTGTTGCTTACTGCTTAGGGAGTACAAATAAAAAGGAACTGATCAGTTTTTTGGCCCTTCCGAAAACTTAAATAAAAACAAAATAAATAAAGAACACACATAGTCTGACTGTCCTTTTCTGTTTAAAAGTGAACTGAAATTAATTAAATAACAGCACAATGTGGTAAGAATTAATGAAGTAAAATGTATAACACAGTAATATAGTGAGGAGAAAAGATACAGAATTCTGACATGCAAATAAGAAAGTGCGAACACAGTTATATTTGGGAGCGGAAGCACTTACAGAATATGCAAAGAGTGTCTCCAACACTAACTCTGCATTCCCTTCACCTATGATGAAACGGAAATTATTCTGTGTGTATTTGTTAAATGTCTACGGTGAAAAATTGATAACGGGTTAGGTACAAGAGCTCCATGAAATCATAGAGTAATTGAAGATTGATATGAGGTTCGAGAACTCATTTCAGTTTATTGAACATGTAAAATTCAAATTTGTACCATCCGAAAGACATAAAATTGTCCAAAAGAATGAGCTAACCATACCGTGTTCTTCAATTGCTTTGTCGACAAGAGCTGGCGCAAATCCCATCCCCAAGAAAGACGACCTTAAATTGGTCCCAGACGAGCTCGCCACATTTTCCTATAACAAAAGCACAGCTCACACAGAGATAATCTACACTTTTCGAGATAAACCATAACAAATAATCGTGAAATGTACAATACTAAGAGCATGTCTGTATACAACAATTTTAAATCAAAATTTCATTCAACTCAAAATTTAACTCCAATATCCTCGATATTATCAATATAATTAAATAATATCATCCAATCATTCTTACACATCACACCTACTTTAATTCACTATTCACCAACTCACATAATTTTAACTAACCCTCACTTTATATCATCTTTCTCCTACTTTTCATCAAATCAGCTTTAATTATTTTATTTTAAATATTATTTAATATAAATACAAAATCCCACTAACAACTAACTATGCCATCTTTTTCCAAATTAATCAAAAAAAAAGGTCACCTTGAGTGAAAATTTTTGTATACAAACATGCTCTAAACCCCCAAGGGTAGGTACTAACAGCTCAACAACCAGCATTTAATTCAACCCTTGACACAACAAATAGGAAGTGGACGTTTGCTTCAAAATTAGTAAACAACCCACCATAGGCCTCGAGCTTGTGTTTTCTTGCGGAAACTCATAATCCAAATTCTCGTGCTTTAGCATACTTGCTAAATCGTTTGACGGCATTGAATCATCTTCATCATCCGAAATTTCCACTACCTCACACTAGAAATGTGGAAATATTGTATCATTGTTCAAGATATGATGAACACTCCCGTCTAATTATCAATAGAAAAGAAAATTCATGAATTCAAAAATTCGACATTTGAGAAAGCCCACCATCTCAAGTTTAGTTGGAGGTCCCAATCAAAGGAGAAGAACCGAGCTATTATCCCCTTCCTTTTCTATTCTTTTTTTTCCGCAAAGCTCCTGCATTTTTACAAGAATAATAACAAATAAACAAACATTGAAGACAGAACATACAAACTGATGACCTGTTTCATGATATGACAAATCACAATTTCAAGACTGAGACAACGGCCTAACCGTTAGGTGGATCGACCATACTCTTCTAATCAAATGTATATATTTTCTTTAGATCTTGACATTTTACGAGCAGGCAGCCTAAACAACAGCATTTATGATGTAAAATATATGAAAACGCTAATTAATTCTGAAATTGAAAATGAGTCTCAAAAATTAAGGGCTAAATCAAGAAATTAAAATCAGTTAATAATGCAATTAGGGTACATGCAAGTAATTCAAGCCCAAAGAAAACTCCCCTCACTCCCAAAAAAAAGGTGTAAACTGAATTGAATGTACATTTATCAACGGAAAATTGCAAATTAAAGGTGCAGAGTGCAAGGCGGGGAAGTTAATTACGCTCGGCCGGTGATGATGAGATGAACGGCGGCGCGTGATAGCTCGTAGCGACTGCGGCGGTTGCGAGTGGAAATTTGTATTTTTATTTTATTTTATTTTATTTTTTTGGTACAGCGTTAGAACTTAGAAGTAGAACTGCTACGAAAGTGAAAGTGAAAGTGAAAAACGAAAGCGAAAGCAAAAGTAAAAAGCTAGGACAATATATTTATATTTCAAAGAAAGTAAAGGCGTTGACATCGGCTGACTGGGAAATGCTGAATTTTCATTTCAGCCCCTAATACTTGTAATAATTCCGAAAACTCCTTTTGCATTTTCATAATTCCACAATTTATTTATTTATTTATTTTTTTTTTTTTTTGGAAATCATAATTCCACAATCTTAGTATTAACATTTGATGCATCCATCCTCGGAGTGTTACCATAACGGTACCGTGCCGTTGTTTTAATATGAGTCATTGGATGTTGATAGTTGTTATTAGTCACTACATTTCAGAATGATTCACTTTAACAACATGTACACTGCTGTAGACAATTTAGTTTTCTTAAATAAGTTATGAGAAGATAGAGGCAGCACGTATCATTTTTTTTCTTAAATAAGTTATGAGAAGAAGACATAGAATTCTGGTGCATGTATATATTATAAATTTTATATACAGTCAATATTTTCATGATCATTATATATATTTGTCATAAATTAATTCCTTAGCATCAACAAATAGATTATAAATAAATTTGTAAGGTTGAACTTATGCAAAAAAAAA